CCTGATGTTATTAGACCAGTTTGGATACCTAAAATAATGTAACTAAAGACTAAAACTGTCCCATTTGAAAATTATAAGTGGTAACATAATAGTATATATTCTTTCGAATTAACATAAAAGCACGTACCGCTTTACCCTGGTTCACATGTATGTTTTTGAGGCTGTTAGTGGTGGTGGTGAGTTACCTTGACTCTGTTGGAGGGTCTCTTGTGTTAATGGACATGTTTGTTTATAAAACAGTCATGTATTTTTAATAAAATACCATCCTAAATGTCAAAATTTCATGAAAAAGATCATTAAAAATATAAATATTTATATTATAAATTTATACTGAAGTTATTTATAGGAGCCAAAGAATATGATAATGATTTGTGACTTTAAAAAAGATTTCACATCCATGTTTTAGTTTGGTTGTAAGTTTTCAGAACCCTGACTGCTTTTCTTCACTATCATCTTCACTTCTCAGGTGAGACTGCTGGTTCTCTCTTTATCTTCCTTGACCTTTGATCTTTAGTTCTTACCTTCTCATTTTCTCAAGAAACATTTTCCATTATTTTCACTTTCATTGCCTTTTTAATATTGTAATTTATTGGTTATTTCTAACTATGGCGAACATTTAAAAACATTGATTTATTACCGTAATCATTTCAAAATGTAGAAGACGAGACCCTGCCTTTGAGACATAGTCAAAATGTATTTTGTGTTATATGTTGTTATAACCACACAAATACATCTGCCAATACTGGGAGTTCATTCGCTTGTTCATATGTTATGAACTCTGTGTTTTTTGTGTGTTTTTTTTTTTTTTTCAAATTCTAAAATTATGTAACATTACAGAAAGTTTGAAAAATAGAATAATAATTGCCTACAACCCTCTCTCCTTAACACAACATTTTTATACATGTTCTTCTGTATTTCTATCTATACTAATTTTTATATTAGTAAAAAAGTAAAACCCAGAGTGTAAGTATGATTATTGTATTCTGTCCAGTTTTCTCCATTTATTACATCAGATGCATTTCTATGTTACTGTATAATTTTATAATTATAATTTTAGTGGCTTCAACCAATTTCTTTGAAAAGGTGTTTCATAAATTATGTTTCCCATACTTCGGTATATTTTGGATGCTTCAGGTTTTTTACCATTAAAAAATCATTAACATTTGAAATGATAGGGTTAACAAGTATAACACTTATCTGCAATATGAAGCTTATTTTAATAATAAATGATTCTTAATTTACATATGTAAGCATTAAATTTAATTATCTCAATGAATGGCATTACAGAAATAAAATGTAGTGAAGTAGCTTTGAAAATATCCAAATCATAACTGAGTTTAATTTTTTTTACTTAAGAGAAGTGTCGAAGTCCAATCAGACAGATTAAGAGTACTTGAAGAAAAATCTTAGTTTCTAGTCATGAGCCTATGTTGTGAAACCCCTAAAACTACAAATATTTGGGAATATTTTCTATGTCTCCTTTTAGATATGGATGTTTTGAGGGCATTGACACTGTTTTATTTTTTTTTATATTTTACACATCATCTTAAATTCAGAGGAGTATCAAAAATTTATTTAAGTATATTTGAAAAAATGTCTTCTAACAGAAAAAGAGCTTATAGTTTTTAACCCCTACATTAAACTGCTACTCCTCTTCGATAATTTTTTCCAATTAAATTATTTCATAAAGTAGCAGAAAGCTCATCATTTTTTCTATTATACATCTAGTATGTAGAGTAACATTTCAAACTTTCTTCTTGACATTTTTTCATCATTTAATATTTGTACCGAAGCCTTGACAATCTTTTTTTTTTTTTATATATATACATATATTACATTAAAAAAAGAGTTACTTGAACCTGTGGGTTTTTATACTTACTCATTGGGTTGCTGTGAGAATTAAATGATGCGCTTCATTTAAGCACCATAAAGTACTTCAAATGGTATCTGTATTCTAGTAAGTTTTCAATAAATGTCAACTGTCACCACCACTTCTATTGTTTTGGTATTGATATTATTAATAAGATAAATATCTAAATCCAGACCAACAATCACCTTTTTTTTTGGTCATGACAATAAATCACCTGGTACTCCGTACAAGTATGTGTCAATATAAAGTAGTAAAAGGATTGTTCAGTAAGTATTTCTAGGACTATTGGTTAATTATTTAGAGAAATATAAAGTTACGGCCTCACCTCACAATCTTGATCACATGATTACGGCCAAGTAATTCCAGATGAAATAAAAAAAAATATACTAAGTATGAAGCCATGCAACCCATTTTTTTAAACGTAAGAAAATATAGGTGACTATATATCAGACCTAAGGATAGGAATAGACATAAAAACAGTGGAAGAAATCACAAAGGAAAGAAATCCACAGATTCAAATACATAAATACTTTAAATTTCTTCAAAAAGGAAAATTGAAAATCTTAAAAATCTTTGCAACAAATAAGGCTAAGGACTCTGAGCTTAAAAGATACATGTATGTGTATTTATGAAGACCTTAATCAAAAAGTATTAACCATTTACAAAACAAATAAGAAATGCAAATGAGTAATAAACATGAAAAGTAGTTCAACTCCACTAACAGTTAAAATGAAATGCTATATTTTTTCACTTGTCAAATCACTAAAGGTTTTAAAGTGATGAGAAGTCCTTTTATGAGAGAATGGTATATGGGCAGTTGTGCTTACTGCTGCTGGAAATGTACAGCGTTATTAACCAATCAGAGGCATTTGGACAAGATCTATCTAGCATCCAGCAATTTGTCCTAATGAAATCAGACGCAGACTAAAGAGAATATGCAGGGATGTTTACTTCAGTCTTATTGAAATAAGGAGCAGATAAGCAACTTAAACGTCACCTTTTATGGTAAAAAACATATAACTTTAAACAAAACTGTACAATTAAGTGATACGTTAACACGTCATTGTAAATGATTTCTACTGGAAAATATGAGATAAGAAGTGTCCCTTTGTGGTTAGGGGCTGACCTGCACATGCAGTTGTACTCTAAAGTCACTTAACTATTGTAATACGTTAAGCTGCCGCTCCTTTAAAACACACAAATCTCTAGCAGCTGTGGGTAAGCGCCGTGGAAAAAGCCTATCCATAAAAATGTTGAGCCAATTATAACTTACAAAAATGTGAAATATAAGGGAAAATATATTTTGTGTAAAACTGTTCCCTTACTGCACATTTCTTGTTACTGTTCCTTTTTTTTTAAAGCCACCTCTTGCTAAGACCTGGGCACTGGAGATGAACTGGAATGAAATAGGCTCTAGGTTACTTATATTTACCTGAAAGAACCCTCTGCTTGCTTTCAGTTTAAGTACACATTTTTGATCTCCCTTTTAAGAAGAGAAGCACATAAGATCTGAAGGCAAGAAATATTAACCCCTTTTCCTGACTCAGAATTCCCTATCCTCTAAGCTTAGCTGTAACCGAGATGTGTGGACGCATCACTCATCATGTTACTGAACTTTGAAAATCCCAGTCTCTCTATTGCCTTGAAAGGCATGCCAAGTGTGCTCTCACCTCTCACTCCCTGTGGAGGATGGATTCCAGGAAAGTAGGCTTTTTTTTTTTTTCGTTTGAGAAATATAAGCAAGTATTCTGGATTTCATACCGTTTGTCACATCCTCTGTTCTGGCTGTTTTATTGGTTGCTCTGGATTTTGGATTTTTTTTCCTACTCTGTTTATATATAGATATTTGTGTACTTATGCATACATCTGTATGCATGCATATGTGTACATGTATATATGTATTGTATGAGGTAAAGATGGAGTGTATAGAGGTATATGTGGATCATGAGAGTAAGGATCACGATAAGACAGAGGGAGGGATGCTCTTTAAATATAGTAGCAGAAATAACATACAACCCTAGAAGAGCATCTAAAAAACATGAAAGGGTAGTTAAGGCACACTAACTCTTTCTGTTGTTTCTTGAAAATGCCTCACTACTTTCATAGGGTACTTTTAATATTTAACACATTTGAATCTGGCTTTAATTTTAATATTTTGTCTCTTTTATAACATTAGCCAGTTAACAACTTATTAATAAGCCCTTTAATTTATTTTTCCCTTTCTAGCTAGAACACAGGGAGGTATAACATGTTCCTGCCTTTAAGGTACTTTCACTAAGTTGGAGACATGATCAAGTACTAATTTACAGCTATCACGTATTTACATGTGGTACTGGGCCAAATGGTTAAGGGGAATTGTTTAATTCTGAACAACACTGTGAGGTAGGTACTATTATGATGTTCATTTTAAAGTTGAGGAAATGAGCCTTAAAGTTGTTTGGAAGTTGGCTGGTAAGTCAGCAGGACAGAACCCAGACCTGTCTACCTTACCCGTCTTTGCTTTTTCACACACAGTGACGATGCAGGCCACGGAGGGAGCAGGGGACATAGCCGGCCCACGTGGACTCCAGAGTCTCCCAGTGCTAAGCCTTGGTGTACGCAGTGTCCTGTCCTTTTCTCTACCTTTTAGAATTTTTTCTTGTGAAAATACTAAAATGTGTCCTGCCTTCTTTGTTGACATTTACATTAAGAAAATGAAAGAGGAATGACAGGATTTTTTTTGTTGCCTTTTAAAATTCAATTTAGTAAACTTCTACCAAGCACCTATTCTGTGCCAAGCACGTACAATTACCACCACCAAACCACCCCATTTTCAGCGTCCGTAGATCCTGATTAGAAATCTGATTACCTCTCTCTTTTCCCCACTATCCCTTCATTGTTTACGATGAAAATAACTTCAATTAATTGTAACGCTTTCACTGAAATTCAGGATTTAGCTGTGATTTGTGGATTAGAAAATTTTAAAGTTTTCACTTTGGGACTTTATTTGCTTTGAATGAGGCATTTATGTCCTGATTAGAT